ATGGAGTAATCTCCACCTGGGCCAATCTGTTGCACTTTTTCCATCTGACCACAGAAAATCTGCAGATAATTGTAAGGTGTATGGGCACCTTTAGGGTGGCTCTTGTCTATGGAGGCAGCTGGAATGTCAACCTGTGGAGAGGGTAGTGTTAACTGCACTAACAAATTTAGATGGACTTTGATTAGCCATTTAAAGCTGAACTCCAGTGAACACTATTTAAGCAGTTAAAGCAACAGTTTTTTTCTGATAAAGGTTTTACATACCGTATATACTCGAGTATAAGCCGAGTTTTTCAGCCCATTTTTTGTGCTGAAAAATGCCCCCCTCGTCTTATACTCGAGTCAGCGTCTCGAGCTGAATTTGAATGATAGTGTACATTTTTGCCAAGTCTATTTATTAGAGAGGGGATACAGATTTATAGCCATCTTAATAAACTAGGGAATGCAGAAGAGCATTTCAAACTTACAAAAATGCCTGTAATTTTAGTTTTTTATGCAGGTCCTATCAACTTAAAGAGCTCAGCATATACATTTACTGGGCCTATTCTTGACAGGTTCAGTTTATGGTGGGAGATACCATACAATATAGTCCACTTGCAGAAGGATGGATGTTATCAGTGGAATACCCGTGGACAATTCATTAGAATACCTTTGTATTCTAATATATATCTAATATATATAGTAATGATAGTAGTTCTGAATATGAGGCAGAATTTATGTGACATATTTCTTGCTAGGGCATACCCTGAGAATATGATTGAAAGAGATAGCTGAGTAGGATAGGATAGGATGGAATTATTATATAAACAGAAATAGAAGAAAGCACAAAACAGGATTATTATTTTCCACATAATTTAGTTTAGAGTATAAAAGGTGAGGGATCAATTGGAATATTGGATATTTATAATGGGCAGCATTGAATCATGATTGTGATATTTCTTATTATTTTTACCAACATTTTGGCAACATTTTTGAAAGATGGCTGGAAAGTAGTTGTGAGAAGAGGCCCGATTTGGGCAAATATTTGTCACCTGTTTTTTTTTTTTTTTTTTTTGTGGTAAAAAACAAGTGAAACGTGGTTACATTTGAAAGGGAATTTTAAATGTGGATCTGACAGATGTACATGCTGCCAACAGGTTATCTCCACTTTAAATAGTAGGAGATTTCTGGGTAAGACTTTTGTGAATTGTTATACCAGATATGTCATATATTTAATTACATGTCATGAGTGCAATGTGCAAAATGCTGGCAGGACCACCTCGGGGACGAGGGATCCATTAAATTATCACTTATGAGACGTTACAAAAAACAATCCAAATGTGGCCAAACACTTTTTTTGAAAGAAAGTGGACAACACACTCCTTTAAAAATTCAGACTATAGAAAAGGTTGCGCCACATAAAAGAATGGGATGTATTTCTCCAGTTATGTAAAATATTTTTTATTGGATATTTATAATGGGCAGGATTGAATCATGATTGTGATATTTCTTATTTTTTTACCAAAGATCATGAATGAATTAATATAGTAACATCATATTTATAAAATTGGTAATCATTAGAGGTATATTCCATGTCTTAGGGCACTAATAGTCTTTTTGTTTTATATCTATATATCTATCTATCTATAGATATATAGATCTATATATCTGTAGATATATAGATCTATATATCTATAGATAGATATATATATATATATATATTGGTCTGGATATTTCACTGAGTATTGATCTTAAGTTTATGTTATAGAATGAGTTGGGGCCCATTTGCGCCAAAGCCACACAGTGGATGCATAATAAAGCGAATGTGTTTACATGCATTTCATGCATTTGTATGAGTTCCATTGTCTTTTATTGGTTTATGTAATTCACATGTGTTTGCATGCATTGTGTTTTTTACATAGTTTGCATGTGTTTGCATGTGCTGCATGTCTTTTTTATGCATTTGAATGAGTTATGTTGTGTTATTGGAGTGCGTTTGTGTGCATTACATTGTGGGGGAATGTAGTCTGCTCTATTTTTTGGAGATGCGTGTTGGCGCAGTGCGATGGTGTGGTTTGCACCTATTATGATTGATTGATTGCTTTTTGGTGTCTGTGCATTTAGTGTGTGTTAGCTGGCGCTGCAGGCACATTCAATGTGACTGGGTCCTTATACATTTAATATGTGTGTTTATATGAATTTGTATTTTTATTTGTCATTTGTTTATATAAACTTGATTTTTTTTATATGTACAACCCCAATTCCAAAAAAGTTGGCATGCTTTGTAAAATCTACACAAAACCAGAATGCAATGATTTGCAAATCTCATAAAGCCATATTTTATTCACAAGAGAAAATAGAAAGCATATCAAATGTTTAAACTGAGAAAATGCCCCATTTTAAGAAAAAAATAAGGTACCGTATATACTCGAGTATAGTAAAAGTAGGTACCTCGGCTTATACTCGGGACGGCTTATACTCGAGTATATACGGTACTCTTTAAATTGATGGCAACAACACATCTCAAAAAAGTTGGGACGGCCAAGTTTACCATGGTGTAACATCCCTTCTTCTTTTAACAACACTCTGTAAATGTCTGAGAAATGAGAAGATCAGTTGCTGGAGTTTTGGAATAGGAATGTTGTCCCATTCCTTCTTGATATAGGACTCTAACTGCTGAACAGTCCTGGGTCTTCTTTGTCGTATGTTTCATTTCAAGATGTGCCAAATATTTTCAAATGGTGAAAGGTCTGGACTGCAAGCAGACCAGTTAAGCACCCGAACTCCTCTACTACAAAACCATGCTGTTCTCATAGATGCAGTATGCGGTTTAGCATTGTCCTGCTGAAATATGCAAAGCCTTCCCTGAAAAAGACATAGGGGTCTATTCACAAAGCTGCCGAGGGCAGCCGAGTGAATGACTGATCAGAAGTGAAGTGAGCCGAACACCGTTCGGCTATTCACTTCAGGCTGGTACGGCTGATTTCAGTAGTTGCTTCGTGTGGCTTCGGATCAGCCGAACATGCTCAGCATGTTCGGCTGACCCAAAGTGCAGAAGGAGTTCGACTCAGCCGATCCAACAAATGGGAGCATATGCAGCTTTAAAACCTGGATATATCTTTTAGCATTCATAGTGTCTTTCCATCAAGCTGCCCATTCCATATGCACTAATGCACCTCTATACCTTCAGAGATGCAGGCTTTTGAACTGTGCGCTTAGAACAAGCCGGAAGGTCCCTCTCTTCTTTAGTTTGGAGGATGCAGCGCCCATGGTTGCCATAAACATTGTCACATTTTGATTTGTCTGACCACAGAACAGTTTTACACTTTGTGACTGACAATTTTAAATGAGCATTGGCCCAGAGAAGACGGCTGCGTTTTCTGTATCATGTTCAGATGCGGCTTCTTCTTTGCATTATAGAGCTTTAACTTGCATTTTTGGATTTCATGGCAAACTGTGTTCACAGACAGTGATTTTTTGAAGTATTCCTGAGCCCATGCAGTGATGTCTATCACAGAATCATGCCTGTTTTTAATGCAGTGATGTCTGAGGGCCCTAAGATCATGGGCATTCAATATTGTGCCTTGTACCTTGCACACAGAGATTTCTCCAGATTCTCAGAATCTTTTCATATTAGGTACTGTAGAGGATGATATATTTTAAAGTCTTTGTAATTTTATGTTGAGGAACATTATTCTGAAATTGTTTGACAAGTTTACACGCAGCTTCTCACAGATTGGTGAGCCTCTGTCCATCTTTACTTCTAAACAACTGTGACTCACAAAGATGTTCTTTTTATACCCAATGATGTTACTGACCTGTTGCCAATTAACCCAATTAGTTGCAAAATGTTCTTTCAGCTATTCCTTGTTAGTGCCACTTACTTTGCCAGATTTTTGTTGCCCTGTCCCTACTTTTTTGAGACGTGTTGCTGCCAATAATTTAGAAATTACCTTTTTTTTTAAATGGTACATTTTCTCAGTTTAAATATTTGATATGTTTTCTATTGTGAATAAAATATGGGTTTATGAGATTTGCAAATCATTGCATTCTTTTTTTTAATTTAGATTTCACACACCATCCCAACTTTTTTGTAATTGGGGTTGTGCATGAATATTGGTTTTACAACGTTGTTATATATATAGAGAGATGTTGAGTGTATAAAGTTATTATCTATTTTGTGCACAGTTGTGGCGGTTTGTGGGTTAACACCCATATTCTGGTGGTGGTATTTTCCTATAAACAAGTATGCTGTGTTCACATAATATGCTCTATGATTGAGCGCAAGTATGTGTGAAATGCGTTAGCGATTTATACTGAGACATGCTGTATAGCAATTGATGAATTAAAGATTACACACTGATCTTCAATAAATACAGAAGTGCCCTGATTCCTTTGTGATTATGATGTATAATGATCCCTAAAGTTTTCTGCAGCTAAACTTCTCTAGTTTTTTGTGAAAATATTTCACAAGTGTTCACCCCCTCAGTTCATTCTCTGTCTGCCCAACATAAATTTAATCTACAAAGTACAATTAATAAATAATCTTCCAGGGAAACTTTTGTTCTTAATAATGGACCAAAATGTAGATGTTCTTTGCAAAAAATTGGCAAATATGGCAAAAAGCACACTCAAACCTATCCAAAAGGTATGCTCCCTGACAGCAAACTGTCTTTATCCCATCGTTCAGAATGTTCCCAGGACATAATAACTAATTACTGTCACAGAGCCTGAGATCTGCTCATCCGCAGGACACAATTAGGGTAAACTCACATCTACATGTGAGGAGAAATATTTACTAAGTTCTTCCTAACAACTTATTAGCTAGCCATTACTTTTGCATAGCAAAACATGAAGCACAAGGGGGATGCCTACCGTGCACTTGCATACTGCCAGGTTACAAAATGTTAGTGGTCTGTTTAACAGTCAAACATTGTAGTTAACTTGTCCATTCTACATTTCCACTTTAATAGTTACAAAATGTTGAAGAGCTTCACCTATTATAGTAGAGCTATTACATACCAGTATATGAGCCTAGGAGAATATAAATGACAGTGTTGGATGGGCGACCAGCTGTATTATTACCATATTGTGTCAATTCAGCTGGGCAGTCTCCTGCTCCACAAATTGTTTGATTTGGAGCATCAATTCCTGTAAGAAAAAAATATGTTAAATTAAGCAGGGGATGCTGACAATATTATTTGAGATATCAGTTCTGTGCACAGGAAGTTACAAGACCACGAGATTACTGACATAATCAACTAGTCATATTTTGTACTTGCAAAAAAATTATTTGGCCTCAAAAAAAGAAAACTAATGCAGCCACATGTTTTATTCTGTTGTTAAGACAAACTTTAAGAGGATTTAAAAAAAATGTAATGTGCACAAAAAACTTCACACCACCAGAACAGGCCAAAAATGCGGAGACACACAACACAGGCATGATTTCCTACCCAAAATTGGAGGCTAGTACTGTATCTTGTCCTGGACCTAACATCTGAACTCCTCCATGGGCTTATTTTGCACTACGTCCACCGGCTGGATCGTGGACCAGTGGGACTTATTTCCAATCTTATGGAATTCTCAGGTGTGCCATGTCAGGCTGGCACCACTAGGTTTGAAATAATTCCCACATACATCTTCCTCCCTGAAAAACCTGCTGATGTGATCACCGTACTAATCCCTTTATTGTTACCCTTTTGTTACCTTAAAGTGGACCTTTACCCCCTTTTCATTACATCAGCTCTGCATGCTGATATGAAATAATCTTAAATTCATGAGCTAAGCAAACATATATTTTCATTTTACTTACAATTACTAGTTTTTCACTTCCTGGTTCTCTTTGGCAAAAGTTAGGTAATCATGCCCAAGCATTGCATCCTGGAAAGGTTACATCAGCAGAGCATTGCTGGGAAATCTCATCTGTAATCTCATGAGATCTCAGGGAAAGTCATTTTCCTCCCCTGAGAGGATGTGCATGGTCAAATGTCCTATTTACATGTCCTAGTCACATGTGCCATAGTTCCAGGAAGTAAAGGGAGTAAAGGGAGATGGATACATCTGCCCTTAGTAAAAATGGCCACTGTAAGAAGAATGCAAAGCATAAAAAGCCTTCAATTATCTAAATCAGTGTGCACTATGATTAGGCTCAAACGATATTTAGCCATGATCACGTAGGCCATGCCAATATTCAGGGTAATTTAACCAAACCCCTTTTTTGTTGTGGTGTGCTGGACACCACATTACCTCCTTATATAGGACAGTTATGAACGGCGAGAATAAGCCACATTTTAGGGAGACAAGTGCAGGTATTTACAATAAACATTATAACATAGTATCTGAGATACAACTGTAAAAAAAATTGTCCTAGCAGTTTGTTAGCTGCTAGAATAGGCCAAAATTTAGAGACACAAGGCAGAAGTTTACCTGCATAGAAAAGCGGCGCCAGAGAGAAGCTCTGTCAGCAACAGCGAGAAAAAAAAGTAGTGTATTTCACCTTTTAAGGAAATACATTTTACAAGGGTAAAATGGATACGGATTTAAATGTATTCTGTGGCATCTGTATTGGGTGTTTTGATAGTATTTGATAGTCATCTGTGATACAGAACTAATTCAACTAATTCAAATTCTTGAATACACCCAAGGAATACAAGCAGGCCCGGCGCTACCGCAAGGCAAGGCAAGCGGCCGCCTGAGGGTGCTGCAGGGTGAGGGCGGAAACGACAGGGCATTTTGACAAGTACTTGTACTTGTCAAAATGCCCCGATGCTTGCTCTATGTTTTTTTTTTTCCATTTACCTTCGGTGCGGGAGAGCAGCGGCGAGTCAGCGCTGATCCGGTGGGAGGAGCTCCAAGTGGGGTCATAATTTAGCTGGCCAGCGACTGCCGGAGGATCCCGACATGCGCGGCACCTCTGGCAGTCGCCGGCCAGCTAAATTAGGACCCCACCTGGAGCGCCTCCCACCGGACCAGCGCTGACTCGCCGCTGCTCTCCCGCACCGAAGGTAAGTGAAGAAAATTTTTTTTTTTTAAACTATGCAGAGCCCCAAAACCAAATCAAAACAACAAAGCTGAAAGGAACAAAAAAAGAAAACAAGAGGATGGTTCACGGAGGAGGGGGAATTGAGGAGGAGGGGAAGGGGACAGCAGCCAAAAACGTAAAATACACAAAAAAAACCACAATCACACAAAAAAACCACAATCACACAAATACCATTCGACCCACAAGCACACTTTTTTTTATTTACAAAGCCTTTTTTCTTTTTTTCTTATTTTACTAAATGCAGCTTACATGCTGATAGGGAGCCGGCCCAGCGCTACAGGGGGCCGGGGAGGGGGTGCAAAAATGCACCTTCGCCTGTGTAGGCAAAAATCCTAGCACCGGCCCTGAATACAAGTTCCTCCATGCCTGGCCCTCCATGTCAGAACTGGTGTGTGGCCAGAGCCTAATATCATGCAGCTTTTCTAGAAGATCCAGTTTCTGTGGGGAGTGTGACAGTGTTAAGGTCTGTGCACCCCAAAACACTCATTCTGTTGAAATTTGCCAGTTTGCAACATGATTAGACCAGCCTACCGATTAAACATATTTTGAAGTGTGTCTTTAAAAGGTCTTCAATTGAATCTTTGGAATTGCCATTGCCAAGGTTGCGATAACATTCATTAGCAGAAAAACGATAACTGGAGACCAGTGGCTCCGTCGGCAAACGAAGGGAAGTGGGGAGGAGTTCGGTGACGTTGATGTCCGTGACGGCTAACTGAGGGAAGGGGGGAGGAGTCCGGTGATGTCGATGTCCGTACATCGACGTCACCGGACGTTATTATTCTTAGTTGCCCCACTCAAGTGGCGTCCATATTGAGTGGGGCACCTGAGATGAATAACGTGCTGGATTACTGTGATCCTAGTTCATTTTATTACTTCATTGCTGTGCTGTATGTGTATAGGCCAATGTAGTTGGATCTGTATGTGCGTTATAATAAGTCGAAATTAATCGATTAATCGATTTTAAAAAATTTCGATTAATCGAACACGAAAATTGTAATCATTACCAGCCCTAGTTTATATACATAAATACATATCATCGAGAGACTTCAGTAAATATATCATTTAAAGCATTAAATATATATAGTGAAAAAGCATTCCCTATTATGTGAAAGAATACAAAGAGCGTGTCTAACTATGGCCGAGTGAAGACGTGTGCTAAACCCTGATAAAGGGACCCTGTGCGGTCCCGAAAGCACTTGTTGGTCATATGACAAAAAAACTTCAATAAATGTAGCTTTTGCTATCCTATAAGGACTGGTGTGCTGGTGACATTTCTACAATTCTACAGGCAGGCCCGGCGCTACTGTAAGGAAAGGCAAGCGGCCGCTTGAGGGCGCCCAAGGGGGGAGAGCGGAAAAAACAGTGCCAGTGACAGCATGCACAGAGCTCCGGGCTTTGGCCGTTGTCAGCTCGTCCCCACCCCTACCTTCTCCCTGGTACGCACGCTTCCTGTGTGGCTGCAGCATAGATGGGGCTCCAGGCTTTGGCTGCTTTAAGCTTGGCCCCGCCCCTAGCTTCTCTCTGGTGTCTGGTCAGCTGAGCATGCTGCCTGTGTCACGTGTGCGACTCTCTCCGTACAGTGCCCGACTGAGTCGCTCATCATTCACTGTGACTGCTGCCATCTGGATCTCTGAATGTGTCCCCTGTGGAGTGTGCTTCTCATCTTGGACTGTTTAGGTAAGTGTTAACTCTGCCTCCTCCTGATCGTATGCTGCCTCAGCCTGCCTCTGCACCATGTGTATATGTTTGGTTTTTTTTTTTTTCATCTCTCCTCACTTTGCCTCCTCCCGATCGTAAGCTGCCTGAACCATGTGTTACACATGCTGTAGGCAGCTTACATTTTATGATCATCCTTCTGATGATCATAAAATTGTAAGATGCGTGCACCATGTGTATATGTTTTTTTTTTTCTCTCTTCCCATTCTGCCTCCTGAATTGTAAGCTGCCTGCAGCATGTGTTTTTTTTTTTGTAACTCGCTCTCCCCACACTGTCACTATCTCCTGGTCCCAAGCAGCAGGTATTGGTAGAGTGTCCAGTGTTGGATCGGTGGGGGAGGACAACAGAGAATGTGTAGTGAGAGAGGAGAGTTCTTCAACACCTAGGGCGGCATTGTGGTGTTTGTGGAACTACAAGTCTTAGCATTAAAGGAGAACTATGAGGCAAGTGATTTTCACTCAGCCTCATAATCTGAGCCGACCTGTGACAATTAAACTGTCACAGGTCGGCTTAATAGATCGTGAAGTGAGCGAACACATATTGTCACTCACTCACTTCTCCATCTATCCCTGCAGAGAGCCTTGACTGTCACTCACGGCTCCCTGCAGGGATTCCCCTCTCCGATCCTCCAGCACTGACTGGAGGAACAGACGGGGAGGGGGCGGGCACAGCTGGCTCTGCCTCTGGATAGGCAGAGCCTGCTGTCAATCCCGCAGCGGGGTGGATCTCAACAGCAACCTCGGGATCCGTTCTGGCTGCGGCGTCTCAGTATATCGCTAGTTGTAGCTCGCGGTATACTGAGCTTTGGGTCATGGGAGGACGCTAGTTTGTGTCCTTCTGTGACCCTTAGGAGAACTATGGGGAAGAGCCCTGACCCCATAGTTCTCCTTTAACCTACATGGCTCTAAACCTTTCTAGGTTCTGGAGCCCTTGGTAACATTTGCCAAGTTGTGGTGACCCCAACGGTAAAATTTAGGGATGACGCGGCTGCTGCAGCGACATCTGGTGGCCTGGCGGGAGAACTGACAATGCGGCGCTAGGAGAAGGCTGAGGAGGACTCTCACCTAGCACAGCAGAAATCATGCAGCGACCCACAGGTTGACAACCACTGCTTAAAGGAGACAACGAATCCCAGAGGAATACAACAAATCGCAGCAATAGTCACTATCTATACTATAATGGACTATTGCTGGGATTTGTAGTCCTATACAGCTGGTGGTATTCTGCATTGCGCTGTATAATGATTATACGGCGCAACGCAGCATACCACCAGCTATATGGGAATACAACAAATGCCAGCAATAGTACATTATACATACAGTGTATAATGTATTGCCGGGATTTGTAGTCCTCTATAGCTGATGGTACATATACAGCACAATGTACCATCAG